CTGCCGACATCAAAGCCCTTTGTCGGCAGCCCCGGTAAACCTCATCCCACGAGGAATAACAGGGCTGCCGACAAAGGGCTGATCAGCTGTTTGTCGGCTCAGTGCGCTAGTCTGGACGCTCCGCGGTCGACATCAAAGCCCTTTGTCGACCACCCCATTATTCCTCGTGGGATGAGGTTTACTGGGGTGGTCGACAAAGGGCTTTGATGTCAACCGCGGAGCGTCCAGACTAGTGCGCTGAGCCGACAAACAGCTAATCAGCTGTTTGTCGGCTCAGCGTGGCAGCATTTAAATTTAAATGAAGCGACGATTATTTAAATCGCCGCTTCATTTCCCTTTGCCCAATAAACAAATCTACATGGCTCCGTCGACGGAGCCATGTAGTCTAGACATACCCTAAGATATTATGGCAAGGGGGAAGTCAAATGCCTAAGACAGACAGCTGGAGAAGCAACTTGGCCATAGGCAGCACAAACAGCATGTGGCTCAGCAGGGAACAGAAGCTGGGAGACTTGGACTCACCGGCCCCATTCAACAGCTAAACCACCCCAACCCTGGTAAATGCAGTGGAGCAAAGACGTTTAGTGCACAGTGTGTGCAATTCCACGCCTGATTCGTAAATGCCATCACAACAAACGTAGATGCAAATTAAACAGGCGACCGCGCACTCGCGTTCCAGCTTTCCCAGTTGGAAATTCTCTGCTGCCAACTTGTACAGATCCAAGAGGGCAATTTACTTTCTCTCTCAAATGCAAGAATAACTGATGGTCTCTAGAGGATCTAACCCGCATCCTTTTCTTTCATCAAGTGTGGGTGGGGGAAGACAGTTCTCAGAAGCTGTGCACACAGTCTGGCCTGAAGCACCAAGCTGAACATGCCCGGTGTTTAACCGGGCTGGAGCAGACAACCCCACCTCCCAGTGTGGTGCAGGGCTACGTGCGCTGTGCCAGGCCCACCGTACTGTGGGCAGGGGAGCTACTCTGGCCCGGCTGGAACACCCCCCCACAGGCAGGGGCTGCTCCAGCCTGGGTCAGAGCAGGCCCTGCCTGCAGGGCACCCAGGCCTGCTGCAGGCAGCGGCTGTACTTGAGCAACCCCTGTCTGTGGTCCCCTGCACCTCCGCCAGGCTGGAGCAGCCCCCTGCCCATGGCAGGTGGGGAGAGCTGCGCCAGCACTGATTAACCTTAACCAACAAGCCTCACCCATTAAACCTTCACATCCCTATTGCTTAGTAATGTTTTTTGACAAAATATCTATTTTGAGAGGGGCGCTTCACAAATTGTCTCACATAGTCCTAATTTATGCTTTATCTGGCATGTGATGAAATATTTCCTTTTTTAAACATTGCAAAATGTAAACATTTCACAAGATGTATTTTATCTCTTCAGAATTCCTTTGATTGTACATGAGACTTCTGACTCTTTACATCAGGTGACGGAGGAGACTCTATCCAACTAGCTTCCTCATTTTAGATTCCTTAATTTGGTGGTTAGCATCTGTAAGATTGTAATTAAGAGGGGGTGTAACAGCTATGCAACATTGTGTTCAGGCCCATGAATCAGCCTACTTCCTGTAGTCACATTTAGCATGAGCTAGGATTCTCCTTATTAAGTTTCTTCTCAGTCTCCCCAAATAGCAATACAAATGTATTCCATTTATTCAGCACTCTGCTGGTTGCAATTCTCAGTTGTGACTATATAGTGACTAGGACTACAGGTTAAGAGTAAGAAGCAGCTGCCAAAGGCTAGCCTCAGTGATAGTAGTAAAATCCCTTTATTAGATTTAACTCATAATAGAGCAAAATAAATTATCATATTTAATTATATTGCACAAGTATTAATTAATTGTTTTTAATGTCTTATGATTAATACCATGGAATAACTTGTAAGTCAGCCTGTGATACTCTGTGAGGTACCTTCTATTTGAATTTATGAATGTAGGGAACTTAAGATGAGTTGGCCAAGAACATTTTGTGTCTCCATCCAGATTGTTAAACAAAGATATGTTGGCTATCAGTTTAGTCTGAATGAGTTGTGTGTCTTATTTGTGAAGGACAAACTGCTAATCTTACTCACTGGTGCAACCAAACAAACTGCAAATAATTGACCTTCTTTCTGTTTGCTTGTAAATGGCATGTGTCCATAAAATACATGGGGGTGCACTTGTTCTGAAGGGCAATGGAGGGTGTGTTTGGGTGAACAGAACTCAGGCTGGCAATTACTTCTGTTAGCTGGCTATACTTCTAAGGCAAGTGAGGTGAGTTGCCAGAGTGGAATAGCTGGTGCAGCACAGGATTGGGAGCAAGGAAACAGGTTCTGATCCTGATTCCTAGACTTCCATATACTACAGAAAGTGCTCATTACATTGCGTGCAGCTGTTATGCTGGGATTATGCCTTCAATTAACCAGTTTCTATATCACCGCTGAATGAAAAATTAAATATACTTTGCCCTTAACCTCACTGCATTTATGCTATATTCAGCACCAGTTTAGCTGCTCATGTAGCAGTAGGTAATGTCTATAGCATATCGTAAGATCTCAAGTCTTAGGAAAGCACTTAATTTGCATGTGCCTCTGCCACCCATCTGTAAGACAAGGATAACATCAAACAGCCCCCCTACACACACATCCCCACCCTCATCTTGCATGTAGGTGGTGATTTACTTAACACTTCTGAATTGTTCTGATCTCTTAACAGATACCATTTATCATTTACAGAGAAATCATTTAATATATAGTGCAAGCCATTAGCTTGTTCGCTAAGTGATAAGTAATCTTAAATTCACTTTTTCAGCTTAGACGAACGAAATATGGGATTTTTTCCTCCATCTTGTTTATTCTTTGATAAAAATCCGAGGGATTTTTCTGTCCCCTCCCCAAACACTCCTTGGGTCTGAGCACCTTCAGACCAGAGTTACTGTCCCACTTCTCCTTTCAGGCTCTGTAAAAACACCATAACAGGCTCTCTTGCTTCAACAGCACCCCACCTTGGGGCCCATTTATTACAAAAATAAGCCAATATGCCAAAACAAAAATATCAAAGTGTACTCCATCTATCAATCCCAGTGCCTCTGATATTAAAATATTAAAGCATACTCTGTCTATCACTCCCAAAGCACAGGCCACACCTTCTGCCAGGGCAGTCATCCCAACCCTTCCACCTAGAAAACCCAGTTTTCCAAATAGGAACCCTTCTCTGCTGGGAGTTCACCCATGCCAGGGGGTGGGAACATCTTTCTCATCCTTTCCTGTTAACTTTTTCCAGCTCTGTAGATGTCAGCAGGTAAACCTCTCTGTTGCATCCTTGCCTTCTGTCTTCTCTGGCCCTTGTGTTTCAGCTCTCCAGCTTGGGGAGGTCAGCCAATGAACACCTCTGCAGCTTTCTCCCAGTGACTGCCTTCCCTATGTGATTCTTTTCCCTGATCCGTTATAGCTGCATATACTGCCTGGGCCTCCCCAGTTAGCCAAACTAGAAGCACCTTTACTAGTGCAGAGGTTCTGGACATGCTTCATTTAAAAAGGGAAAAGCCAACCTGTGATAATAAGTCAAAAGGAAAAAAACACTACATGGTATATTTAAAAAAAATCTGCTAACCAAGAAGCTGGTTTTAAAAACCTTGCATTCTTAAATAGCTCAGTTTCTCTCTTTCTCTACAGTTTGGAGAAGACTGCAGAAGTAAAACATACCCTCCTGCAGGACCAACGTGAGTAACTCAAATGACTAGTACAGTTTTTGCCAAATTACAGGACAGTGAATTGAGAAGAAATAAAAAGCAGTTCAGTTTTCTTCTGGCTTGCTCACATAGAATCAGATGGAAAAAAAATCTCTTCTAGTGTTTTGGCATTGCACTATACCAAGTAAACGTTTATAATATTTTTATATATATGAACTTTGGTACTTGTTTTTCAGATTCAAGGGGACAGTTCCTACATACATCATAAATCTTGATTTACCTCCCAGCAGAAGATGGGACAAGTTGATGAGTGAAAAAAAAACAGAGGTATCAAGTAACACTTTTTCTTTTAAGTTTAGCTTGAATCATAACTAGTATACAACTTTCTCTT